TTCTGCTTCACACGTGGTTCATCTGCTCCATCATGAAATGTCCCATTATCAGTAACAGTCACATCAGTGGTAGTAACTTCATTAATGGCTTCACTGTTTTCCTTCTCAAAACCGGGTAGAGTTTCTTCTTTGATAGTGCTTTCCGGTGACACATGTTCAGCAGCGTCATTTGTTTCGTTGTTCGCTTTGTTCCAACTGAAATGTCCTGGACCATGATAATGCCAAAGCTTGTTGGCATGCACCAGCTTTGGCTTACCTCGCCGACCACATTTTATTCGGAAAGTCACATCTGAGAGACGATTCACTATGTCATATGGGCCTTCCCCTGGAGAAGACAACTTTGGAGACTTTCCTTTGGTCTTCCTGGGATTATACAGCCACACCTTGTCTCCTGGTACAAAGCTGACTTCAGTAGATCTCTTATCATAGCATAGCTTCATGAAATCAGCAGACGATTTTAAGTTTGAACGCACTTGATTATGAATATCATCCAACCTTTCAGATAACACTTTCACGAACTCTGACACATTTTCAGGAAACTCTTCATAAAGTGGGCGTGCTGTTACCAGATCCACTGGCAACCGAAGTTCCCGACCAAACATCAGCTTTGCTGGAGTGTATCAAGTGGCTTCATGCTCTGCTGTTCTATAGACCAGCGACAGTGGAGGGAGTAAGATATCCCAGTCATCTTGGCAGCTATTACAAAACTTTGCCAATTCCTGTCCCAGTGTCCAATTGTACTTTTCTACCATCCCATCAGACTGTGGGTGAAGTGGCGTTGTCCTGGTCTTTCGTATGCCAAAGAACGTGCAGCATTCGTGAAACGCAGCTGATTCAAAGTTACGGCCTTGATCTGAATGCAGTTCGTATGGCATACCAAACCTGAAGAAAAAATCACTAATAGTTGAAGCTATATTTGTAGCTTCCTGATTTGGTATTGCATATGCCTCAGGCCACTTGGTGAAATAATCCATCAACAAACAAATGTACCTCTTTCCAGCACGAGTTTGGAGCAGAGGACCAGCAATGTCAATGGCTACTCATTTTGGTGCACCAACTTGATATAACTTCATTGGGGCATGTCCCTTATGTTCCCTTTTTGCACAACATATACTGCAGTTCCTGCACCATTCTTCCACATCTTGCCTCATACCTATCCAGTAAAATCTCTGACATAGTGACTCAATGTCTTCTTAACTCCGAGATGTCCTCCTGTTAAATATCATGGAATTGACGCTGAACAACTTTCCGTAACTTTTTCGGTATGACTGTT